GAAATGGCACACCAGATGCCGCCTGTTGCAAGTGGCGACGACTTGAAGTTGTCCAGTTGACGAATGGCAGACATCCGTGTAGTCTGGTGGGCTTTCACCGACTTTTCGGAGGTGCTTGCTGCTTCCATCATCAGGGCGATGAGTTTGGGCTGCTTTAGTGCGTATTATGGCATGTTGCGACTATTAAACTGCCATCGTCAGGGATCGTATTCGTTATACTGGATAATTTATTTGTATTCCTTTACGTTCAACCTGCCTCGGTGGTCTAGCGGTTAGAACGCTGGCCTTGTAATCCTGGGGTCTCGGGTTCGATTCCCGGCGGTGCCCGAATTTATAACTTGTATTGGGCAAGGCCGTGGTCTAGGCAACACGGAGTTTTCCTCCGTGGCATCCCAACAATTATTCCATTCACACACAGAAGAAGGCAATGGCAAACCACTTCTGGATCATCTGCCAAGAACGTATATGAACAGGTCCCAGTCCGAGAAAAGGATGGAAGGATCCTGTTCATATGGACCTGTCGCCAGAGAGAACACTACAAATAAAAATAAAAACTTTGCGTTCATCATCAATTATGTTTTAACAAATGCCATTTACAATATCCTGTTCATGATATTCACTGTAGATCCACAGTATGTAGTTGTTTCATCAATCACTTATTCAGAGGAAGCGTTAATTGTCGCTAAATGAACGCGTGTGTGTCTTATTTCTTTGTGTATAAACAGATCCTCAGTGCCTGGCTTTCTTCAGCCACTAACGCGTCTCATAAACATTAAGTAATGTGTACTTGTTCTGTGACTGAGATTATCTTTCAATTTTATTTTGATGAAGTGACTGGCAGCTTCAACTCCGGTACTCGGGGGAATTGAAACGAGCCTACGTTCTGTTACCATGGCGAAGTCGTCATAATCCATTTGCGGTACGTCGCGCTTAAGACTTCACCTGTTTTGCGAGATGTCTCCTCACATTTCAGAAGGATTCTGTGTGTATTAAGAGACGCTGACTCCGATCGCCGATAATCCAAGGCAAATAACAACTGCGTCTGAATCAGCGCGTTTTTGTCGTGACATTTCGCCCACGTAAGCTGTAATGGTCGTTTCGTCGTAAGCCTCTCCTATGAAGATGAAGGCGGAAGGGTCTTGAAGAGGCAGAACCAACCGTTTCGCTTCACTGCATGCGGAGACTGTTCGAATAAGTGTTTTTTCCCCTGCTCGGATTAATGGACTTTCAATGGAATTTGTAACGTTTCATGGGAGCATTGGCTCGTTTTTCCTCAGTCCCTGCTCGCCAATGCCGTGTTAGAGCCTCAAATTAGTCCAGGAACGTTTCCCTCCACATCCTTTCCAGAGCTGTGTGGTCTGGACTGCTTACAGCGTTGTTGTATAAACCACAGAAAATGTCGACAAATTTATACTTGAAATCGTTTTGTTGTGACATTAGCTTTGCCGGTGCTGGCCCCACGTATGGAGTCGTTACTAGACGCCTCTGCGGTGCGTCTCGTACGTACCAGATGCATGGACGGAGACACACCTACAAAATACACGTCGCGAAGTAATAACTCCTTCAAATAACCGGTAAGGAACTCTATAAAAGGCAGCAAGCATGTCGAGGATACGCCGCCCTGTACCACCAGCGCGCGAGGCTGTGTCAGGAATTTACACAGCACAGGAAGTTCCAAGAACACGTTTCTGTGTTTATAAGCGACTTTACCAGTAATGACGGGAACACGCCAGGCGTGTAAAGAGCCTTTTCTTGGCAGTGCCACAGACAACGGCGTCCTCGTGCAGCGTGGCGCCTGACCGCAATAAAAAATTCGAAGTGTGAGGTGCGGTAAATATTTGGGGGACAACGGGAGGAAGCTGTAATTTCAAGAAATTAAGACCACGTTAAATCCGGGGAATGTTTCCTACCACGCAGTTCTTCGGCAAGGATTTTAGCTGCCATCTTCAGGACGAATGTGCTTTGTTGGGAATTTTAGGGAGCCATGAAAACCAGGCTGTAGCTGTCGGGTGGGGGTGTGATGAATCTGATTGGCGAGCTGATGTCCAATCGGTAACTGTGAACTGATAATGAAGGAAATGACGTGGTAAGAAGTCGGTGGAGAAATCGCAGGCTCTGAAAGGACTTGTGTGGGCATCAGGCAAGAGGCTGTTGATGACCTATGGTGCACTGGACCGAACGTTTCATTAGCGAATTGATTTCCTCCACTTACAACAAATTGAATGCTGACTGCTTGTCTGCCCGCCGCCCACATGTTCCATGTCCTTTGTAGTGGGCAGTGTTCCTCTGAGTGCCAATTAGGTGCTGATGGCCGACTTCCTCTGCTGCCGAACGCAAAGCTTAAGTACGGTGGTCGAGATGGGAACTGCCCCCTCAGAAGATTTTGCGGTTTCCTTTTGAGTGCGAATTAAATTTACATCCTATTTTCCAAAGTGGGCGACTCCATTTCACTAATATTCAGTTGGTTCGTGGGTTTTCTGATGTCTGTTTTACCAGCTGATGAGATGTTGGTATTATTTACGCTAATACAAAATGCTGGATTACTTATTGTTAAAGCAGGTGGTACATTAATTTACCACTGAGCTTTAAAGGCTTACCTTAGTGCGCATGAGACAGTGAACATCACAAAATAATTCAGCGATTCTTTTGACGATGTTTCTCGCAGACTTGAGATCACGATTATTGACATTTCGTACACGAATTTTTGGTATCAGTATTTGCTCAGCGTGTAACCCAAATATAGTGACAGATGAACGGGTGGCCTATGAATAGAGATCATTGTGGAGGCTTCGGGAAACTATGTGGACACAAAATTCTTCCGTGTAAACAACCAGAGCTTCCTGTTCAAATGCGTGGGTCCGCCAGAAGTGGACTCTGTTCATTGTGTGCGAACGAATGCTTTTTCCTGCAGTAGTTCACGGTGATCCGGCACAGATTGGGACTTCAGTTGTCTGAATATTTCCATGTCGAAGTCTGTTCAGCAGAATCCTTCTTCAGAACCTAATATTGGCTCTGATACTAAATTTCCAATTTGTCAAGGAACCCCCAAGATTTAATGACGTGTTCAAAACCGTCCGCCATTTCTCTCTGCCCTGAGTCAGATGAATTGGGCCCACCCCCTCACATCCTGCTCTTTTAATATTATCCTGCCACGTACTCATGAGTGCCTCTGATGGTGTTTATTCGGATTAAAATTATAGTTTTAGGTATTTGTTCCACCCTGATTTGATTCCCCTGTAATATTTGGCGAAGAATACAAAGTGTGACTTCTCTGCCACGTGTTCACCCTCCGGTCAAACATCTCATCGTCAGCCCGCGTTCTTCCCTCTGGGCGAGAGACCATTTATAAGGCGTAGAATGGTCTGTCGGGCCTTTAGATGGGAGAAAGTGAATTTTTATGTGGAACTTCGTGGAACGCACAGCAAGAAATTGTTTTTCGCGTTGTGAGCAAAATTTTAATGTGTTTATGGCTCTTATTTATGAGCCCGACGCGTTAAAAATGAGAAATGCTTACCTTGTGTGTGTTATCTGCGTTGTAAATAGTTCGAGTGATCGCTTAGGTTAGTTCGTGTCGCAGAACAACGGCTTACGTCATCGCGACACGTGGAATAGTTCGGAGCTCTAAATGCAGGTGGCTTGGTTGTAGGGTTTCGAACCGAACCATAATCAAATAATCCGAGCAGAATTTTGCCTACTTCGCGTAATTAATGTAACTTTACTGTCTTGCATAAGCGTGTCTTCAACTTGTTTACGGCACTGCTAAGACGTAAGAAGCGCGTTGCTTGGTTACCAGTGCACAACATTGGGCCGATAAGCGGTTCGCGTCACGTGAGCTGATAACACTTCTAGCTCATGGCCACCGTCCTCGGGGTCGGTGCGGAATACTGGGATAGAACTGTGGGTTGACCACGTAGCACGGCGGAGTGACGAAACGTCGACCGGTCTGGGAATAAACTGGGGTTGTTCAGTCGCTGCTGCTATGCTTGTCAAGGCTGAGTTCTTTGATCAGGCTACCTTCAGGTGCGTGCCAAGGTCATGTTTACTTGGGACAACAGAATTGGGGTTTGTCTTCCACCTGAAGGCGGAAGTATAACCATATTCCGAAACGTCGTGGCTTTGCTTGGAAGCGCTTATACGATGGAACAAGTTCGACAAGGTGATCATACTCATATTGCCACTAGATCGCCAGACCTGTAGCAACCGGGACGTGTCGTCGTCATTCAGATTACATACGAGAGAGCGGCGTCCGACGTGAGAATATGGAGCCTGCAGGAGATGAGACTGTTCCTGGAAGCTGGCCTCGCGCGGTTATTGCAGGCCGGAGGGAATTGAATGACGTCACGCGAGTAATTTGCTGTTCGTGTGTGCTGTAGCGACAACCAGCGGTCGCTACTAACTGACAGCTGTGTCAGCGGTTTCGTCGTCTTTAGTGTGGGATTTTAACCATTTAAAAAGCCCGGTGGTAACTATATGTACCACCTGCTTCAACATTCAGTGACTGAATTTTGGATTTACGGTTTTGTGTGATTGTCACAATAAACGATTTTTTTTAAACAGCGTTAACCGGTAGATCTACGTAACGGTGAAGTGTTGTGTTTTCTTCGCGGTACGGACTGAATTCTTAAATATTATTTATATGAGCTTCGGACTCGAAGGATTAAACGCTGTGTTATGTGTTTACGTGTTCATCGTAGGAACAGCTGACGTATTCTTTCTTGTACGAGTGTTAATACCTACCGCAGTTCCCCGAACCCTCAGTTTCCCATAAGGCCTTGGTCCAACTAACCGCGGTCTATTTCAGGAACGTAACCCGCGTTGTGTGTCAGCGATCTGGAGGAACTGAACGTTGGGGCAGGAAGGGCTCTGACTGTACGAGGCGCGGAGACTTTTCACGGTTTTAGTAGCACGTGATGTGGAATGCTCGTGACTGCGTGATCCTGTTATTGTCTGTGGGAGAGAAAAAGTTGACGTGAAGTGTGTTGTTCTGTTTCCTTTTTCAGGACTGAACAATGACGAGCCATCACGAAGGCTTGGAGGTGGTCGAGTCAGGGAGAGCGCTCAAAGTACAGACTGACGCACCGCATCTCGTCAGTCTCGGCGGAGGGCGACTGAGCACCGCAGTTACCTGGCACCCGCTTCCACAAGGTGAGCTTGGCGCAAGTCCTCTGCACAGAGTGGGTTTCACAGCGGTGAGGATGATGGTCTTGCTGTGTTTTGGCGCCTCACGTAGACTCTTTGGCCTGAACAGCCCTGAAGATGGAGGCATTATGTTTCTCCGAAACGTTGACATCTGCCTTCGAGCCTTCACTGCGCCAAAACCCAGCAGAACGATATCGACTAAAAATAAAAACATCACATGAGAACTTCTTAAACATTTATTACCTGCATGTACATGGTTAGAAATAAGTTCCGCCCTGAAGGTGGAGGCGGTGTGTACAATCCAGAAGATCAACGTCGACAAACATTGGCATCCGAACTGTCCGCAGGTCGTTGCGCGATCTAGACCTTGAGGTCCCGTGTATATCCCGGACTCTCGCATTGTGCTGCCCTTTAAATAGCGCTCAACCGCCTTGAAATGTTTTAATTTTACGGAACTCCAATTCGCGATTGCAGACGGTCCAAGGGTAGAGTGCCAAATGTCTCGTAGGCCCACGATAATTTCTGGTCCGTATTCGGTCCATGGCCTCCTCAATTCTCCTCTTCCATTCGCTCCTCTGTTAGGTCCGTCTGTCCGAGGCTTTGATCGAGGTTTCGAAACGTCTTCCTTTTTACGGTGCCTCGGCTGGAATTGTTTCCGACGCTGTCACAAATTTTTCTGTGCATCCGAAGCAAAATGTTTGTACCGTCACGTTGCGGGTCGTTCGTATTGCAAAGTTTATCAGAGGGAAATTGCAAGCGATTCAAACAAAACGTCTGCAGGTTTATGAGGAAACCGAGTACACAAAAAATCCCAAAGATGATGTACGCCGCACCACGGGCGATGACGCCAGCAGGAAAAACAGAGAAACGGCAGAAAAGTTGACATTTGTTTTCAAGGTCATTACTGTAAAAGTTTGATCCAGGATCTTTGTTACGTCACTGTGAATCAAGGTCATTGTAACTGATGAAAAACACGACAGGGACAGACAGACAGACAGACATACATGTTCGGGCCCATGAGGCATTGTTCACTTTCGCTATAGTACGAAGACATAAGACCCAGGTATTTACAAGGTTCTGAAGCAGTACGTGACATTTTATTAATTCGTTTGTTTCTGATGTATTTGTCGACGCTGGGGTGATTAGTGACTTAATGAAGTGAAAGGGATGTGGAAGGAAGTGGTCGTGTCCGGTCTAATTAAGGTCTGTTGCCCTGGCTGCAGTTGCCTGACGTCTCGCAAGCAGAACACAGGGTAACCTCAAAATACAGGCCGACATCGTTTTAAAATATGAATAGATAGCAACAAACCAAAGTTAATATCATGTTAGGTTAGGTTAATGCACGATTTTTGGAGGGTCGCAAGTTGAAACCCGGAACACGCGGAGAGCTTCGTGATTACGTAAGTAAGCCTGTTGGTGTTTCCTCTGAGGGAGGAGAAGAAATTATAGCTCTTGATGTTCTGGCATTCCTTTGAACCAAAGAGTTCCCAAGCCCTCTTACTGAACTGCCAATTAAATTGTCTTCAGAAATGGTCTCGGTTGCGTGTTTATGTGGCAAGTTGAATTTTGTGATCACTGTCTGGCAGAACTGCAACACGTGAGAAGTTGCTTTGGAGTTTGGCTGACGGGTAACTTTCATGTGCTGGAAATTCTGGCGTAGGAAATGCCATCGATTGGTTAGTTTTCAGGTTCTCGCGGCGGCGAGTATGAGGGTTGTTGCGCCATGTAGTTCGGAGGTCCTTGCTGCCTCCATCATCAGGGCCATCGCCCTCACCGGACTTACTGATGTGAAAACCTCGGATCCCACTTCACAGTAAATGCGATCTTCACATGTTTGATTGTCTGCGAGTTATGTGGCAGAGCGAGCCAGTGTTTTCCCCCGTCTTCTGCTTTATCTCAGAGAAGAAACACTGGCCATTGTGTTGCGCCGCCTTAAGACCGCGTCCCGGGCGGGAGAAGCGTAAAGATTTACGCAAACAAGAGGTACCAAGGCCTCTTTTTATGGGCGTATTCTGAGAGCAAGTTCTTACAGACAAAAGTATGGTTCTTTCTTATAAACAGAAACGTGTTAAAAGAAAAGAAATGCAGACCATTAGGTGTGTCGTGCATTATGTATGTCATTTTCGAGAATCTCGTGAGAATTTCAAAACGAATGTTGGATTCCCACTGGAATTGTTAATGGATTTCAATAAGACTGTACACTGCATGGACTCTCCAAAGGCAAGTGGGAACTGCGTCCCACCTTCTTTGTTTGTTTCGTGTGATTCTCAGTGTAAACAGCGATTATTTCCTTGTACAGCGTTAACCACTTGATCTTTGTAAGTGTGAAGCGTTGTGTTTTCTTCGCGGTACGGGCCGAATTCTTAAATGTAATTTAGACGAGCTCCGGATGTAAAGTGTGTTGTCTGTTTCAGGTCGAGTAACCATCGGCGCAGGCCGTGATGTGGACATCGCATTACAGGGGACAGGAGTCGAACCCCTTCACTGTCACATCGACAATTCGAATGGCGTTGTGACTTTACATCCAGTGGCAGAAATGACAGCTGTTGACGGCCTCAGGGTCAAGTCTGCAACACGCCTTACACAGGGTCAGTGCAGTTTCTCGCCCCTCCCACCCCCCCGACCCCTTGTGAAAGATCTTCGCCGTCTCTTGGAGACTGGCTGTCAAGTTGGCTCGAGGCTTCCGTTTCTAACCATTATAGTTGATGCTGACCTGTCTTGCAGGATGCATGCTGTGCGTCGGCCGATCCAATTATCTACGCTTTAACCACCCGGCCGAGGCGCGGCTGATGAAGAGTATCCTGCCCAATACGCGGATATCCATGGTTCCGCTCATCCTGTATCCAGGTGATGTATGCCACCCGCTTTGACGTTCAGAATGTATTGACGTAATTTCCTTTAACGGCGTCAACCGGCTGATCAATGTAACGGTGAAGTGTGTGTTTTCTTTGCGGTACGGACTGGATTCTTAAGTATTATTTAGACGAGCTTCGGCTTCAAGAGGGCAACAACCGGGTTCCAAGGAGCTCCGTCATTGTGATATACGAATATATTTTCTTTTCGATGTACATTTTTCGTAATGTATTTCGATAAGAGTGTGCCATAGAGCGCAAGACATTCTCGCTGTCAGGCTGTTCGTAATTGTGTCAGGTGATGGACTGGACGTCCTGCTATCTGGTTGAGGAAACTCCGCGGTGGGTGTAATCGGCACGGCCTGAACCTGATCCAGTCTCCCTCCAAGTATGGCGATTTAACGCTTGGCACTTCATGCTGTGATTACTTAACGCTTTCTGTACAGGCGCCGATGGTTCCGAAGGCTTTGCTCTGGAGCGGAAGCCGCCAGTGGCACCGCGTCGGTCCCCCAGGGACAGCTGGGGGGACCTGAGCACCAGCAGCAGCTGTGCCAGCGGGGACGACTGCTGTGTTCTAGGCAGAGTGTCGCGCTTCGAGCTGATGGCGCACACCCAGAACGGCAGGGCCGCCCCGAACCGCCTGCAGCACTTCTCGCCCAAAGTGTTTCCGGCCGGGTGCCCCACGGCGAGTTCCCCTGCCAGCGCCGTTCTGGGTCCGGCCCGTGCGCCTTCCGTAACCAACGGAACTAGATCTTCGCCGTCTCTTGGAGACTGGCTGTCAAGTTGGCTCGAGGCTTCCGTTTCTAACCATTATAGTTGATGCTGACCTGTCTTGCAGGATGCATGCTGTGCGTCGGCCGATCCAATTATCTACGCTTTAACCACCCGGCCGAGGCGCGGCTGATGAAGAGTATCCTGCCCAATACGCGGATATCCATGGTTCCGCTCATCCTGTATCCAGGTGATGTATGCCACCCGCTTTGACGTTCAGAATGTATTGACGTAATTTCCTTTAACGGCGTCAACCGGCTGATCAATGTAACGGTGAAGTGTGTGTTTTCTTTGCGGTACGGACTGGATTCTTAAGTATTATTTAGACGAGCTTCGGCTTCAAAAGGGCAACAACCGGGTTCCAAGGAGCTCCGTCATTGTGATATACGAATATATTTTCTTTTCGATGTACATTTTTCGTAATGTATTTCGATAAGAGTGTGCCATAGAGCGCAAGACATTCTCGCTGTCAGGCTGTTCGTAATTGTGTCAGGTGATGGACTGGACGTCCTGCTATCTGGTTGAGGAAACTCCGCGGTGGGTGTAATCGGCACGGCCTGAACCTGATCAGTCTCCCTCCAAGTATGGCACTTCATGCTGTGATTACTTAACGCTTTCTGTACAGGCGCCGATGGTTCCGAAGGCTTTGCTCTGGAGCGGAAGCCGCCAGTGGCACCGCGTCGGTCCCCCAGGGACAGCTGGGGGGACCTGAGCACCAGCAGCAGCTGTGCCAGCGGGGACGACTGCTGTGTTCTAGGCAGAGTGTCGCGCTTCGAGCTGATGGCGCACACCCAGAACGGCAGGGCCGCCCCGAACCGCCTGCAGCACTTCTCGCCCAAAGTGTTTCCGGCCGGGTGCCCCACGGCGAGTTCCCCTGCCAGCGCCGTTCTGGGTCCGGCCCGTGCGCCTTCCGTAACCAACGGAACTGCCTCGGGGAGCCCCACCCTCGAGAACTGCTCATCCCCCACTTCCACCCCGATTGTGGTGTCAGTCCGGGCTAGAAGCGCCACCCCGACCCACGCGTCGCACCTGTTCAGCAACACGCCACCGTTGGTGAACGGGGACTTTGCCAGAGGCTTGTCAGGCGTCTCTAGGAGTGTTACTTCCAGCCCCGCCTTCGACAGGAATCGGTCCACGGGATCCACAAGGTCCCTGTCTCCCGCCTTGGTCCGGTCCACAGACTCCTCCAGTCACGGATCGCCCGCTGGCTACCCCTCTCGTCTCGCAACCCCTAGTCCAGCCTTCAACAGGAACCCTCTGCCTTATTCGCCAGGAAGTGCATTTCGAAGTGTAGGTCACAGACGGACCTTGTCGGCGGACTCCGACGTGCGCGTGAGCTTCGCGTCCAGCAACTGCAGCAGTTTGGAGGAGCTGACGGCGAGAAACGACGAGTTGGAACACAAGAGAAAGCAGGTATTGAAATTGTAATGCGCAGGGTGTCCAAGTTATTACGGGACCGGGCAGCAGCGAGGGAACTACGAGGAACTGCTGGTAGGTGGGTTCCGATTTAAGGTGCAGGTGGAGGGAGATCAGACGACGCCCAACGCCGCCTGTCTTTAGGCTGGAGCAGATGTCGGGTGGCGAGGAACGAGAGTTTGATGGACCGGAGTGTTTACAGAATCGTTTCCTGTTGACCCGGACAACATTTAGTGTCGAATGGTTCGGCGTGTTGCAGGCCCAGGAAGCGCGAATGCAGGAGGAGGAAGGAGAGAGGCTGGAGCGAGCGCGTCTCGAGGAGATTCTGAACATGTGCGCGGAGTACGAGCGGCAGGCGCAGTCCGAACGCCAGCAGAACAAACCCCCTCTGACCCCGACGCTGCATCAGAACAGGTAAACGTCTTTATCAGGTGCGCCTCGCGCCCTCTGATCCCGAGCGCACGGATTCGCCCCGACCACCGCAACTCGGAGTCCTAACCATGCGTTGACGTGGTTCTCGCGAGAATGTTGACAGAGCCCCCCCTCCCCCAAGCCCCCAACAAGGAGCTGGCGCCTTCCCCTGCCGTGGTTCGTATCTTAAATCTCCCTTCGCCCCGACCCTTTCTCTCTGCCCGACCTTGGCGGGACGAGCGTCCGACTCTCCCGCCAGAATGTTTGGGCTCGTAATTGATTCTGCTGTCGGTCGTAACTCGTTTTACGTGTGTGTGTGTTGGGTTTTGTCCCAGTGGGTTTATTACGTCAAAACGCGAGTATTAGAAACTTGTTACTAAAAATTAAGACACGTTGTTAAATGAATTTGTTTTCGGTGATGAACTTGGTAATTGTACCTTAATTTGTGTTGCTACCCAACGGTGACATCCTTTTGATTCGAGGGGTTCACACCAAAAGCTGTTTGATTAATCTGATTTCATCTTATGTTTGCAACTGAGGAGAGAGGAAATGCAGTTTAATTAGTTGTCTTGACGGCTTGTTCTAAATTCATGTTGCAGGATCAAAACAAATGGTTCTCTGCCTCGAGATAAACGTCTGGTCTCTCCCGGTGCAACTGCAGGAGCCCCAGAAGATGAAGTGGGAGAGATATTTACCTTCGAAACAAGTAGTACTAGTGTTATTGGGTAAGACTTGAAGACGGCATAAATATTTCTTTTGAATTTGTTTATTTTTTCAGTAGTTGGCCCCTTTCACATTCATTTCTGTGCACGTGGTACGATACAAACATAAGGATGAATTTAATTGTGCACATCAAGACAGCGGAAGAGGCGTCTGGAAAAGCTTCCCTTGCGTGTTACAACCCTCCTTTCCGTTCCGGAACTTCTGTTTCTCTGAACGCCTGAACAAAGATTAAACTTCACCAAGTTGTTTATTTTTAACAACGCTGCCTGTTGGTGGTACTGGAGAACATCCACACAAATCCATGTGGTAATTACCACACATTTTCAGTCTCGGTCTTTGATTGGTGACATCCAACAACCAAACATTGACTACTAATTGCTACATTCTGCAGTTCTGCCAACTGTCGATAGTTTAAAATGTAGGCAAGAGATATCGGAATCTACAGAATCCGTTCTAGTAATTCATGAGATTTGAGGTTATGACAGCAGCGAGAAAACCGTACGATGTCAGATATCAGCGCAGAGATCTGTGCTGTGACGAAGTCGTTAACAAAACTATTTCAGTGTTCTGTAGCGTGTTTTTAAACTTTGTTTGTCAGATCCTTATCCCTGAACTACTCTGCAATGCCAGTAACATCACCAGTGGTGAACACAAATCATCTTAGCAGCAGTGAGATGGCAGTTCAGGAGATGGGCGCAAGCCCTCTACCACCGAATATGATTCGCAGTCCCTATGAGAACGTGGTAATACCGGCCGCCTGCGCCGTCGTGCACCCGCAAAGCCCTCGGACCAGGATCCGCACTATCGCGCCTTCAGCTAAGTATGTTCCCTGTTCGTAGCGATTGATCCATTTCACTGTCAGGGGAGTGTCTCTCGTTATGGAACGGTGCAGATGGAGGTGGCATATTGTCTGAAAGATCGAGTTGTGCCGCATTCTTTTAGGTAGTCGGAACCGGCTTCTTTACGCCGGTGGTTTGGACATCAAGAGGGCAAAGAGGGTTTAGTAACACAGCAGGTTTTGAGCATATTTTTGTGTGCCTCGTAAATTTGTTCTGACTGACGCTTCTTGTTCGACAGAGACGCAAGTGAGGTGATAGAAAATCGTCTGGCTGTGAGCAGTGACTACGAGTTTGTTGGCTCGCTGCCTAGAAGCAGAACGACTCAAGAAATGCCCGGCAGTGCTGTATCTTCAACAGCCGTGAGTAATAAGAGTCAAACGAATGACAAAGGCAAATTCATCTTGCCACTTGAGAAGGAGAGGCCGGAAGAACATCTGAACGATAGGATTGATGCTGTGGTCATATCTAACAAACAGGCTGTTTCAGCCCCACGCAAAGTGAACGGCGAAGTGAGAGATGTAGCACGAGATCAGGAAGGGAAGATTCAGGGTGACAAAGTTACGAGAAAGGAGGAGAGAGGACTAGACGTCGGAATGTCGAATGAGGCGGCGCCTGAACAGAAATGTGGCGCGTCGCAACCAGAGATGAAGATTGAAGCGGACCGCCAGAATACCAGGTTGAAGGTAACATGAATACACATGGGTTAATTATTAACTAAAGATTTTTATATAAGTTTCTGCTGGTTTCGGAGAAAAATTCTTGTAATTGGTAGGAATGGGAAGTGTTTTTAAAAATGACGTGACTGAAGGTGGCACCATCAGTATACTGACCAAGCTATGGGCTGGACAACCAGAGTTTGCATTACGTGGGTTGATTTTACAAGATGTAAGCAAACATTAGGGCAGGTCTTAAAGGGGCAAATTTTTTAAGTATTTTTGTTTTTACTTTATAAGTAAATCTCTTATCAGTAAATCTAATTTTGCTTTTTTCATTTAACTACTGAACAGTAATTATCTTTATAACATTACATTTTATACAAACCAGAATTATCTTTCGCAGAGCTGCGGAGATGTCGAACAGCTGAGAAGGGAGAGGGGCAAGTTGTTGGCGACGATGTCGGGTTTGAAGAGGAAGGTTGCCGACATCGAGCAGCAGGAGGAGGAGCTCCTTCGTGAGGTACCATACTCGATTGTATCTTTACTTTTCATCGTGTCTGAGCAGAATATGATTTGTAATGAACATCGTCACACCGGCTCGCGTCGTTTCCCGCCAAGGCCGTTATGTTAGTAGGCGGTTTATGTGAAGGTTTTTCAATGAAGAGCTTCAACTGCCTCAGCAGCAAAAAGTTTGGAGTGCGTCTCCTGAGCCACAAGACCTCAAGTCTACCGCACAAGATCATTTAAATTGCTATTTTGGGACTGAGACTGCACAGTCCCTCCCCAGCCAAGCCATTTTGCCTTCATATTACTGAATCCCACTTTTTTCCAACCGAATAGGGCGTGCAATGCCGTGGACACTCCCAGACAAGCTCTGACATTACCCTCGATGCCTCAAGGGCGTCATAGAGCTGTCTGAGCATGTGTAGATGGCACTCACCTCTGTAGGTTCTTACATGAGTTTCAGCTGCCATTGCTGTTTCACAGATCAGCGCGCAGGTTCAACGTCTCGTGTGTCTTATTAACGATGTTTGTTCAGTTGGACATGGAGCGAGCGCTGTTGGAGGGGGAATGGCAAGCCCAGAGTGAGAAACTGTTGCAAGAAGAAGAAAGGTTGTCAGTGCTGAGAGAGAGGGTGGCAAGACTGGATGAGGAAATGGAGCGGCGTCATGCCAGGGAACTCCGGAGGCAAGCCGAGGTTAAGCGGAGGCTTGAGGCGACGGAACGAGAAATACACAGGTAAGTTTCCCTATCGGCACTTGGTAGGTTCTTGTGAAGTTGCCTATAGGACTTGTTGAGAAATGAATTTTTAATTTAATTTTATTTAATAGACATTAAAATATTATTAAAAACAAAAGTACTAAGAATTGAAAATGATTAAAATGAATGGAATTTAATATTAATTGACTTGCAGACATTTTGATGCAGAAGTTTGGAGTTTGCATTTCTGTAATGCTTATATGTGTTTCTTATTTCTCATTACAGCTTAGAGCAGGAAGCTGCCAAGTGTGCGTCATCTGGAAACGGCGAGAGAGACAGAGAATTGACAGAGGCGCTGAGACAGCAGCATGAGCTGCTTGAAGCCGAGAAGAAGGTGTGCTACAGCGTCGCTGTATTCTGTACTTTCTGTCGTCTTTGAGAGGCTCATGGTTGCCTAGATAGTCATATTGCATGTCTTTTATGGGACGAGAAGATTCAACAAGTAGGATTTCAGGTTCTCGTGGTGGTGAGCACGAAGATGGTCGTCTTCTAGGTCGTAGTGCTACGCTGTTTGGTTGAATTTAACGTCATTTCAGAGGTCCTTGGTGCCTCCATCATCAGGTTGATGATTACACGGAGCTACGACCCGGGTCATTGTGATGTTACAACAGTCCGCAATTGAAATAAATGAATGCTTCTCTTTTAAAGGCATTTGAGGACCTGGAATTCAGACAGCTGGAGGAAGAGGCGGGCTGGCTCGCGGGCCGTGAGGAGTTGCAACGGGAGCTGGTAGACATGGCAGCTAGAGTGGAAACGCGTGGCCTGCGATTGAGAGAGCTGGAACAGCAGCGGTTAGAGATAGCGCAGTCGGCGCAAGAGGAGAGCCGTGCCACGGAGAGGCAGCTACTCGACTGCCTGCGTAGACTGGAAGAGGTAAGACGCTTCTTGCCGATGACACTTGACGTTCGTTTGTTACCCAGAAGCAAAGCCTTAAATGTGGCTTGCATTTAATTTTTTGTGTGGTCTTGTGAATAGAATTTGTTGGAGTTATTTGGATGAATACAGGATTCACGATTGTGTCAACATATTTCAGGGTCGGCACAGACGAAGATCATTGGAAATACAGTTGGCAGAACTGACATCAGTGCAACCAGGAACAATTTCAGGCCAGGATTCCAGCAGTCCCGAAGGGTCTTCAGATGTGGATGGGGTAAGTATCCTGAATTTAATTAGAACACATGAAGGGGACCTAGATGTAGTTGGGAGGATAATATTAAAATGAATCTTGAGGAAATTGGGTTGGGGGTGTGGGCTGGAGGTATCTTGTTTAGTATTGTTTCCAGTGTTTGGCTCTTGTTGACACTGTAATGAACCTTTTGCTTCCGTAAAAGATGGAGAATTTAGGGCTAGTAGATTGTCCTCTCTTATATACCGAAGAGGACATTCTTTCAGTATTATCTTCTTTCAGGCACACGTTGCAGTTTTTGAGTGGTGAATTTGTGATGCATAAAGGTCTTGATGAAAGTTTGTATGTTGGTTCAATAACGAGGTTTGCCTGGACGTGATGATGCCATAAGTTTTGCTTTCTTTAGAAAACTCTTTTGGACGGTTGAAACATTTGCTTGTGTTGCAAAAATTTTGCCTATCGCAGCCCAGATAATATAACTTGTTACTATTAACTATTTTGCTTGTCGTTATCTGAGTGTAGGCAATAAAGGTTGTCTACTTTTCAGTTGCTGGTCTCCCCACAGAACCAGCAACGTGTTCCAGGTTCAGACAGGAAACAGTCTTCACAGGACGATCTCGACCGAATCAGTCGAGTGACGTCGGGCGCGCCGATAGAAATGGGCGGTGGGTCATTGGGGCGAAGAACGCTGGAATCACTTCAGGAAATTGAGAGAAATCGCCAGCGTCATCTTGCACAGCAAGGTAATGTACATTTATCATTCATTGATCGGTATCGATCTCTGCTGCCGTTTCAGATGTCTTGTCGGCTTTCACGCGGTTTTTGACATTTATTGTCGGACGAGCTGTTCGTAAGATGACGGTGCTTAGATGTTTAAGAGAACTTTCTTTATAAATTATTTGGTTGAGTAACCTTGTATAGCAAAACCTAAATTAAACATTGCAGTTAATTTTTGTCGTAGCTAATGAAGCTTTGCCACTGGCTGTTGAAACGAAACTGAAACTCGTGTATTGCATTTTCCTGATAGGAAGCCAAGTGATAGAGGATGAGCGGAAACGTGTCCAGGAGCTGAAACGTA